TGAATTAACACATCTTATCCTCAACAAAACATACAGAATTCTTTTCCTGTATTTATTCTGTAATTTAAGATGAAGAAATAAAATATTTCTTCTAAAAACTCCCTTATAAATATTCTTAACTATCTGTAAAAGAGCTTTCATCAGCAGGTGAGTAGATGAGTTACAACCTGGCATCACCTACTGTGGGAAAATGGGAATAACAATGACACTAGGAGAACTATTAACACTTACTGAATGCTTACCATGTGCCAGGAATTGTTCTAAAGGCATTGTATGTTTTAATTCACTTCGTCCTCCTTATACCTCTGTGTAGAAAATACTGTTATTATGTTTGCTTTGTAGATGAGGAAACTGAGGCACAGTATGATCAAGGAACGACTAGTAAGTGGCGAAAAAAAATCTTTGCACACTGACTCAGGAAATACACATTAAAGTTTTAACTGAAGAGCTAGGCAGCATAGTAGCATAGAGCAGTTTGGGCTCTACTAAAGGATGCTGGGCTTCAGTCTAGACACTCTTAATACCAGCCTGATCCTGAGCAAGGTACTCAACATCTCTATGCCTCAACTTCCTCACTGGTAAAATGGGGTGAAAGGTGCCTCCCTCACAGAATTATGAGAAATCAGTAAGTTAATACTTCCAAGCTCAACATAGATTAAGTGCTATGTGAGTTTGTTAAACAAATGAATTTGGAAAGCCAAGTTTACTATGAGCCATTCCCTTCAGTAACAGCTATCCAGCTCACTCTATTTCTCTTGTGGCTTCTTGCTTTAGTTTCCTATTGCTGTGATTACCCTCTTCTGCTTCCTGTTTTTTTTTACTTATCCTTTTCCCATCCTCCCTGCCATTTACTAGTTCTACTTCTGTACTCCATATTCTTGTAACAGGAAGATGTCTCTTCTAGCTCATTACTAGTGAACTCTAGAGCTACTTCCCACTGCCTCCCTACTAAACACAGAGCACCATATTCCTAACCTGGCATGGTGTCATGGCAGCCTCCTTGGAAGAGAGAACAGTTGTGAGAACACGTATGATGAACACTCAAGTGGCTCGGACTATATAGGAGGCTCTTTGGGGGCTTTGGCAACTCAAAGGAAGGTTTTTAGGGAACTGTATGCAATCACGATCTATGTGTCTTCACATGTAAAATAAATTTCATACCCTGTTGTCCAGATTAAATCAGGTAATGTATGCTATAAGTTTAAAAGTTTAGAGTTACTGTCATACAGCAACACAGAGAAGTAAACCACAGCAGCAGTGACAAGAAGCATAAAAATGTGAGACTGAAACACAAAGCATTAGGAAATCATGGGAACAAGACATAATTCTTTCCAGTTTCTATTATGTAGTGTGTTTAACTGTGGATTTCTTCCTGTTTATCCTTACTAGGCATTACATAATAAGAAATATAGATTTGGTTTCTATTTCCCAGCCCTCCTGGTACAGAGCTTCTAAAATTCTTGGAATTTCCTGAATGACAGGGTGTGAGGACTGGCTTTTATTATTCATAATAAATACTTTTAACCATATTTGAGTTTATGCTAATATAGTGACATTTGAGGACAGGAGCTAGTTGCCAGAAGGACCAATCATGTGATTAGAGAGTAGAAACTTTTAGTTCTTACTGTGGCCCCCAGGAGGGGAGACGGGCTGTAAATTGACTTAATCACCAGTGGACTATGATTTGATCAATCGTGCCTACATAATGAGGCCTCCATAAAACCCCTAAGGAATGGGGTTCAGAGAGCTTCCAGGTCGGTGAACACATTAAGGCACTGTGAGAGTGGTACCCCAGAGAGGGCATGGACACTCCATGTCCTTTTCCACATACCTTGACCTATATATATATATATATCCATCTAGTTGTTAATTTATATCCTTTGTCACATCTTTTATCATATACTATAGACCTAAGTAAATATTTTCTAGAGTTTTATGAGCTAAGATAGCAAATTACCTAACTGACAAGGGGGTTGTGGGAAACTCTGACTTATGGCTGGTTGCTCAGAAGCACAGGTGATGGGTCAGTCAGGTGGCATGGTGGTTAAGATGGCTAGATCCCACATGGCCAACTGAGCAATTCAAGTCCCAGACCTGGTGACTTGAAACATGCTGGATACACATGTGAGCATGCCCAGATCCTGAGAGGAGAATGGAAGAGAAGGGATTGTGGTGTGATTATCCCCAGTGGGAGGTGGTTTCTTACTCTCTCTGTCTCTCTCTGGTGAGTACACACACTCTATAGCAGATTTTAAAAGTGTGAAAAAAAGAAGAGGAAGTACAGGTGGCAACCTGGGACTTATGACTTGAAGCAAAGGTTAGTCTGTGGAACGAAGTCTTTAAAATGCGGGGCCTGTACTAACTCGCAGTACTATCAGCATTGAATTGTAGGACACCTGGTTGGTTCCAGGAGAGCTGAAGAACTCGATGTGGGGAAACCTCACATTTGGTGTCAGAAGTGCTACAAGTATATATATAAAGTTTCTCTATTTACTTGAAATTTGTTGGGTTTCTTAAATCCGAGGATTCATATCTTTCATCAACTCTGGAATACTGAGAGTCATAAGCTCTTTGAATAACATCTCTCTCCTATTCTGTATTTATTTCTGGTACACCATATATTTTTAGCCCTTCTTACTCTATTATAAATGTTAATTGCTCTTTCATATTTTATATCTCTTTGGCTTTCTGGTAAATTCTTCCAATTAAGCTTCTAGTTAACTTGTGATTAGAAATACTCAGTGGAGACATTTTTGCTTCCTCTTTACTAGGCTACAAATTTCTAAGCCAAACACATTTTTTTATCATCTCTTTTTGCAGATTAGATTCCCCCCCCCAATATCCACAATATATTTTGATGTTTGCAGCCATGCTGATCCAACTTGCCACTTTACATGTACCCTGGGCTTTGCTTCCTGATTGCTCTTTAAACAATATTAAGTCACCAAGGTTAGTAGATAGATAATTCAGTAAGGCAATGGATTTAAAAGTCAATACAATTTTTTCTTGGCATTTTTAAAGTTCATTGTAAAGTAGACACTTCAAGCTAGCCCCATATATCCTATCTCCAGAAATATAAGTTAGGATATTCTTACTCATATTTGTAACCCCAGTGCTAAATGTGGATGCCTGGCACCTAGCAAACATTAGTTACTAAATAGTTTCAGCTGAAGATTAAAATCACCCACTTTCTTCTCCCCACATAAATGCATAAACTTGATTGTTTTTTGCTTGAATTAGACAAAATAATCAATGTTTCACATTTATGTTATATATTGACCTTATCTAAGGTAGCAAGAGATTTTTAGGAATTATAAAAAGAAGAAATAAAAATAAAAGGATTGGCAAATGCTTCTCTATATATAACCAAGGGCTCAGAAGCAATAATGTTATTAACTGGCAAATAATATATTCATGTAACTCATTTTTATTTTTGGAGTCAGTATCAGAGTGCTTGTAATTTGAGTAGTTTTTATTATAAGCTAATATGAAATACTTACACTTAGCACTAGTTTACTCTTCACAATCACTTCTTCAAAGGTCTCATTTGTTTCCTCTTTCCACAAACTAATGAAAGTGTTCATGTCCTGGGATATTGAAGGATCAGGACTCCCATCACATTGAATGTAGTGTTTCCACTATGGAATAAAAATGTTGTAAGGTTCACACTTGTCAAACTAAAAAAGAAAACTGCAAAGTAAAAGTTGTAAGAAAAAAGGAATGCATTAGTCTTAGAAGGCTAGTACAAAACAAGGGCCAGACTCTTGGGGCATGCAGCCAGACCTAACAGCAGTATGGCCAGATGGAAAAACATGCTCACTAACACTGAAAAATCGAGGGTCTTTCATTGTAGTGAAAGAATTATGATACATATAAGTTGTTCTGAGAGTTTATGCCAGATAAAGACAATAAAGGAGGGTCTTACGGAGGTGGGGAAGGAACAGGATTGGGTGAAAGTCCACTAGCAGTAGCTATCGGAAGCAGCTTAATGGGCAGTGATGTAGTCCATTCAGCAGAAGTGTGATTGGCCGAAAGGAGTCTGCAAATCTGAGATTATCTTGAGAAATTATGTTTTATGAAAGTCAGCCAAATAGTTGATAAAGAGTATGTTATTGGTAAACAGGCTGGTTAGCCACTCTCTCTTCCTCTTGGTTCTCTGGCTCTTATTTTTAAATTTTTGTACATCATTCTCTCTCTTTTAAATTTTGCTATAGGGTGCACAAGCTCACTAGAGAGAGAGGAAAAGTGAGAAAGCACCTTTCTATGGAGAGTGGTCACATCACAATTCCTTCTTCTCCATTCTCCTTTCAGGACTTTGGGCATGCGCCTGGTGTATTTCTCAAGCTGCTGGGTCTGGGGCTAAAATCATACAATTGGCCATACTGCAATTAGTCACCTTAACTACCACATTATGGGATGGCCCACATCTCTTTCCTAGATAAATTTTATCCTTATATACTGATAAAAATTCAACCCAAGAGTAAATTACTTCTTTTGTGAATATGTGTGTGGTGTTTTTTTAGACGGGGTCTTGCTATATCACAATGCTCATGCCTTAGTCTCCCCAGCACCTGGGATTCCAGGCATGTGCCACCACACTCCGCTTTTCAGGGATGGACCTGGTCCTCCCCAGTGGCCTCAGCCTTCTGAGCAGCAATGCCCAGCTCATGCTACTGCAGCTGGGCCTTTATTTTTTTGAAGCATGAATTCTTATGACCCAGATTTCCCAATTCATACAAAAACATATGATGGTTTTGGGAACCAGCAGTTAGCCTAATGGCTATGTCACTGGACTCCCACGTAGTGGACCACGGTTCACGTCCCGGACCCGGTGGCTTAGAACTCACGCCAGGCACATGTGCGTGCGTGCCCAGGATCCCGAGAGGAGAATGGAGGAGAAGGGATTGCGGCATGACCATCCCCCCTGGGGGGTGATTTCTTGCTTTCTGTCTCTATGTCTCTGTCTGTCTGGCGTGCGCATGTGCCCTATAGCAAAAACCTCTCAAAAAGAACAAATAAACAAACAAACAAACATATGATGGTTTTAACCAGTAACTTGAGATAGCACTAAAATAACCAAATTCATCATTCAAATAAGTTGTAATTCTAGCATTTCAGGTAAATAGAAATTCTCTTTATTTCCATGTTTTTATTTTTAAAATATTATTTATGCCTTGGTTTTGTTTTGCTGTTTCCCTCTTTGATCTAGAGCTCCTTGTATGTAAAAACTGACACATGGGCTATTTTCTACTTCCCAGTTTCGAGACTGCTGGTTGCCCTTGGCAGTTTACTATTAGTCTTTCCATTCACGGTGCGGTCTTTGCAGATTTTACATTTGCAGTCATTTCATACTTATAATGTTTTATTAAAATATATACCATAATCTTTTGCCATACTAAATTTTTTTTTCATTTTTCTCTTGATATACACCTATATTGTGTCCAACATCATTCTGTCTGGGGCAAGTCTAGGTTCCCTGAAGCACAAGAGTTTTACATTTCAATTTAGGATAATTCCCTCAGTACAGATTCCCAACCACTGAATTAGAGTTAAAGGATATAAATATTTCAAGGATATTATTAGTGACAAATTGTTTTCTACAAAGTTATATTAGTTTACTTTGCCATAAGTAAATAGATCTGTCAAATGAGAAATTTTTCTAAAGAATTTTTTGGTTTCTTAGGATTAAAACAGATCAGTCTACAGCTCAGAATACAGCTCCCTCTGGTGGCCACGGTAGTATCAGTTCCAAAAAGAAAAAAAAGAAACTGGTTTTACCTGAGAAAGCAATCTAGTTTCTCGCTTCAGTTTCTCTGCTTCAGAAAAACATCTCTCTAGTAAAAAAATTTCTTCAAGTTCTTCCTTCCTCCGTTCTAGATCCTGTTGCATGGGAGAGATAAATGAATCTGCTCTTTTTTGCTTTGTTTCACAGGTAGCATCTAAAATTTACCTGGTGAAATATGTAGTTTCAAAATAAATACTAAAATTATGGTATAATAATATATCATAAGATTTCACCTAAAATATTGGTTAGCAAAGTGTGTTTTGAAGACTCTTGGTGGATCCCCCAAACTATTTCAGAATCTGTAAGGTTAAATCTGTTTTCATAATTATAAATATCCAAAAATAATGTGAGAACTATTTGCATTTTTCACAGAGTACATATTTGCACTGATAGTATAAGATGGTGTAAAACTACTGGGGGCTTAGCATTATTCAAGGCAGTCGTCCCAGACTATACTTAGCTCAGGGATAAGGTTAAGGGAGTAGGAGCCAGAATGACCTGATGTAGAGGTGAAAATTATTGATACTATGAGTCTTATTAAATTTCAAGTCTAAGTGCCTGTCTTTTAAATATTATGTGTTTCATGGGGCCAGCAAGAGGCATGATAGTTAATGTGTTGGACTCCTACGTGGTTGACTGTGGTTCAAGTCTTGGACCTGGTGACTTGCTTTCTCACATTCTCTCTCTCTCTGTCTCTCTCAGGTCAAATGAAAAAATAATGATAATAAATAAAATTAAATGAATAATTACTAAAATAAATAAATATTATGTATGATGAATGAGAAGTATATATAAAATATTCTATTGCCTATGACCATGGCCGGCCATGGTGACTCAAGCAATAGGGTGCTGCTATGCAAGGGTGGGGCCATACCAGAGGCCTGGATTCTTAAGAGGACAGGTGTAATACTGGGCCTATAATCCCAGCTAATTGGAAGGCTGGGGCAGGATGATCACAACACAGCAAGACACTGTCAAAAAATACCTACCTCTCTACCTCTTCCTCTCTTTCTCAAGAAAAAAAAAAAAAAAAACAACAATACTCTCTTGAGAAATAACACTTGTGGAATTATTTGAAAATTTTGGAAGACATGCTCTCAAAAATGAATTGAGTGTTCTACTCCAAAGGTACAACTCAAAATATTTGTTGCCAATAATAAAGCTTCCAAGAAAAAAATTAAATTTTAGAGTACTTTTATCTACTACTATGATCTGGACAGTTTCCCAATCTTTGAAAACTTTTTATTTGATTAGAGATGGTATTATGTATGTGATTTCTTTGATAATGAATAATAATTTATCTCAACCATTGAAATCAATTATTTTATGAAACAAATTTTTTCCAAGCAAGCAATGCATGATATTGAAACTCACACTCAGAAACAACTTCAATTCAAAATATAAGACAGATTAATGTTTTAATATAGCAGAGTATGAAAAGTACATTGATATGGTTTCAGATTCCACATTAAGAAACTACCAGGTAAACAGCAGATGGCATAATGGTTACATCACTGGACTCTCATGTAGTCAATTGTGGTTCAAGTCCCAGACCTGATGTTTTAAAACTCATGTGTGCATGCCCAGAATCCCAAAGAGGAGAATGGAAGAGAAGGGATTGCAGCATGGTCATCCACCCTAGGGGGGTGATTTCTCACTTTTTGTCTCTCTGGTGTGCACACATGCCCTATAGCAAAAATTCCCTAAAAGAAAAAGAAAGAAAGAAACTATTGGGCCAGCCAGGAACATGATGGCTGAGGCAACTAGATTCCACCTGGCTAACTGCATGGCTCGAGTCCCAGACTTAGCAACTTCAGAAACATGCCAGGCATATGTGTGTACATGCCCACAATCCCAAAAAGAGAAATAGAAAGGAGATTATTACACGGTCATCCTCATGAGTGTGTGTTTTCTCACTTTTCCTTTCTTTCTGTCTCTGTCTCTCTTTGGTGAGTGCACACACCCTCCAATAATTTTTTTAAAAAATTAAAAAAAAGAAACTATGACTTGTTGTCTTTTGTTATAGTATCAAAGAAGAAAATCTACAGTTATCTGAAAGGTTGTTAAAATATTCATCTTTTTCTAATTCTTTATCTGTATGATGCCAAATTTTCTTCATATACTTCATTCAAAACAACACATTGCAACATATGGAATACTGATATAGAAATGAGAATCCAGTTGTCTCCTACATCAGATATTAAAGAGATTCAAAAATTATAAACAATGCTATTCATTTCCTTAATTTAAAAAAATACATATTTGTTCTGTTTAAAAAAAAAAAACTGTTAACATATTGGGTTCTCAGAGTCTTGATGTATTTTTTCTATGTAAAAATGCATCGTGACTGGGGTCAGCAGGTGGTATAGTGATTAAGGTGCTGGACTCCCATGTAGTCAACTGCAGTTTGAATCCTAGATCTGGCAGCTTGAAACTCATGCTGGGTACATGTGGGCCCAAAATCCCAAGAGAAGAAAGAAGGAGAAAGGATTACAACGTGGCCATCCCCCGTGGGGATTGATTTCTCACTTTGTCTCTCTGTTTCTCTCTCTCTGGCAAGCACTCATGTCCTATAACAAAAATTTCTCAAAAAAATCTTTTCTAAAAAATGCATCATGACTTTTCTGACAACTTAATATTTACTCATGTTCATTAAAGTTTACTTTTATCCATTTTTAATATGTATTAGTATAATTATTGTAATTATTGTGATTTTTTTTTTTTTTTTTTTTTTTTTTTTTTCTCCAGAGGACACATGTGCTGACCAGGAAAACAGAGAGCGGGGTAGAGAAAGCATCCGCCAATGGGTCAAGGACACAGTGAAGTCCCTTCATTCCTCCATCCTGTCAGGATCTGGGCACAAATGCACATGTGCTGACTTTTTGCTTTATTTTTTCCAAGTTGCTGGAGCCAGGATTTGAACCATACAGTTTGCTGTGTAAGGTCTGGTTCCCTTAACTGCTAGGCCACAGTTGGCCCCCTAATGTGATAAACACTGATGAATATAATCCACATAAAGAAAAACTTCTTGTGGGTCTTTGATTTTTTTTTTCTTTTCTTTTCAGTTTTTACCATAGGGAGAGATCACTCACAGGAGAGAGACAGAGAGGGAAAGTGAGAAAGTAGCCCCCAGAAGGATGACCACACCACAATCCCTTCTCCTCCATTCTCCTCCTGGGACTTTGGACCTACAGGCATACACACCTGAAGGAATTTTCTCTTTTTTGAGAGAGAGAGATTTTTGCTATAAGGGTGCATGTGCTCGCCAGAAAGACAGAGAGAGACAGAAAGCGAGAAATCACCCCTCAGGGGGGGTTGGCCATGCCGCAATCCCTTCTCCTCCATTCTCCTCTTGGGATCTTGGGCACGCACGTACACGCGCCCAAGTGTGAGTTAAGCCATCGGATCCAGGACTCAAACCATAGCCGACTACATGGGAGTCCAGCAACATAGCCATTACGCCACTGCTGGTCCCACACCTGGAGGAATTTTCAGACTGCTGGGTCCAGAACTCAAATCATGTGAGAGTCCGCAGCCTTAAACACCCCACCTATTGGCCCCAGTTCTTTGATTTTTAATAGCTTAATGAAATTTTGTCTTGAAAATAAAGCACTTCAAAACCACTCATCTAAAATATTCTGGTGAAAAAGAGAAGTGAAACTGAAAAAGAAGTAGAACTTGGGAACCAGCAGTTAGCGTAATGGCTATGTCCCTGGACTCCCACGTAGTCGACCGCGGTTCGCATCCCGGACCCGGTGGCTTAAAACTCACGCTGGGCGCGTGTGCGTGCGTGCCCATGATCCCGAGAGGAGAATGGAGGAGAAGGGATTGCGGCATGACCATCCCCCCTGGGGGGTGATTTCTCGCTTTCTGTCTCTATGTCTCTCTCTGTCTGTCTGGCGAGCGCACGCGCCCTATAGCGAAAAAAATCTCTCTCAAAAAAAGAAGTAGAACTTGAATATTTTGAATGACTTTTTTTTTTGGTTCCCAGTAAATTGTCCGTAAGACAGATTTATACATGCTTACCAGTTACAAGCATGAACTCTGAAGACTGCTTATGTAGATCTAAGTCCTACGCTGTCCTATTAAACTGCTAAAATTATCTATGCCTCAATTTCCTTAACAGTGAAATGTAGATACTATTGTCACTTACTTTATGGTAGGATTAAGTGAGCAAAACCAGTACTTGTAGAACTAAATATCATCTACTACCTAAATCCTGAGAGCCACCTGAGAAGGACACTGAACGGCAACAGATTTGATAGCCAAATAGTTTGTTGTCATTAAAAACATTATAAGTGTTTACTTACTTTTTCTTCAAGATGATGCCATTTTTCTTTCTCTATTCGTTGTATTTCAAGCCTTTCCATTTCTTCTTTTTCATACTTCAAACGGGCTTCCTCTAAAAAGCAACAACAAAAAAAAATTCAGTGATTAAAAAAGTCAGTGATGGGACCAGCAGATGGCATAATAGTTACGTCACTGGACTCTCATATAGTCGACAAAGGTTCTAGTCCCGGACCAGCTTAAACTCATGTCAAGTGTGTGTACATGCATGCATGTCCAAGATCCAGAGAAAAGAATGGAGGAGAAGGGATTGCAGCATAGCAATCCCCACAGAGGGTGATTTCTCACTTTCTGTCTCTCTGTCTCTCCTGTGAATGCACATGCCCTGTAATAAAAATCTCTCCAAAAAAAACAAACAAAACAAAAACTTTAGTGATTAGGGCTGGCAAGTGGCATGGTGGTTAAAGCACTGGATTCCCATATGGCCAGCCTCAGTCAGAGTATCAGACCTGGCAGCTGGCTTTCTCAGTTTTCCTTTCTCCCTCTCTCTATCTCTCTCTGGTCAAATTAAAAAACAATAATAAATAAAATTAAAAAAAAATTATTTTTAAAAAATAAGTGATTATACCACTATATGTGTGTATGTGTGTGTGTATGTGTGTGTGTGTGTGTGTTTTAATTTGCTATAGGACATGTGCACTCACTGGAGACAGAGAGGAAGAAGGAAAGTGAGAAAGCACCATCCATGGGGGGGATGGTCATTCCCCAGTCTAACCCTTTTCCATTTCTCCTTTCAGGATTCTGGGAACACATGCACACACACTCCATGTGTTTTTTAAGCCACTAGGTCTGAGATTTGAATTGCACGGTCAGCCTTGTGGAATCCAGCTGCCTAAACCACCTCGCTGCACTGGCTCTAGATCACTATGTTTTTAAGCCCTTAAAAGTACTCTAAATGTTTTCAAAATGTAGTGATGGGGGAATATTTCATAGATGTCACAACCTTTATTATGTGATAGAAATTAGAAAAGTGCTAGCTTTCCTTCTTTCTGAAAAGTAACATGGATTTCAAACTTTCTGGCCCCAAATATAGATCCACGATATTTCTCTTCTCCCCCAAATTTATAATCATCCAAAAAAAAAAAAAATCAGCTCTATCAGGGATAATTTAAGGGAGGTAAATTCTTCAAGACTCCCAAAACCTTGTGACATCCACATTATCAGAAGCAACTATCTTAATCTTTGTTTGCTCTCACTTTTAAAAATAAAATATGAAATATACATTGAAGAACATGAGTTTAACCCAATATAATAATATATATCTCTCAAGATACAGATCCTGGGCAAGCTAGGTGGCATGGTGGTTAAGGAGGTTGGACCCTACAATGGCTAAGTCCCAGACCTAGAGACTTCAAAAACATTCCAGGCACCTATGTGTATTTGCCCAAGATCCCAATGGAAGAAAAGGGATTGTGGTGTGGACATTCTCCCTGTGGGACACTTTCTCACTTTCTCTCTCTCTCTCTCTGGTGAGCTTCTTTGTCCTATAACAAAATTTTTAAAAAAGAAGATTTAGATCCTGACAATATATTCTTTTTCCCAGATTCTGACAATATGTGCTTATTATGAGTCATCTAAAGAGGATTTATAGGGTCATAAACAAAAATCAGCATGGAACCCAAGAATAGTCTTTTATTTTAATTTTTAAAAAAGAATTATTTAATTGTATTTATTATTTTATTTTTTAAATTTGTCATAGGGCATATGTACTCACCAGGGAGAGAGAGAGAGAGAGATAGGGAGCGGGGGAAGAGAGAAAGTACAAGCCGCCAGGTCTGGGACTCAAACCATGGTCAGCCATGTGGGAGTCTAGCACCTTAACCACCATGCCACCTCCTGGCCCCAGGATAGTCTTTTAAACCCTGAATGCAGATCTATAAATGTTCTTAATGCTAACATATATGACCACTTGGAATGTTCAGATTTTAATATCACTTTTTGGTATTTTAACTAGCCAACACTTTTATTCATTTTTACTTGTTTTTTTTTTTCTTATAAATGAAATTGGCATTTTAACTTGGCAAATAAATACTGTTAAAATGCAAGAACTTAGGCCACTGTGTATATTTCTTGCTAGAGCATATTTCCCACCTCTAATGAATTTAAGATTTAGAATTTCTACAGCACGATCAGCACCAATGATCCTAATTTCATTAGTAACACTTCATGTGAAGACTGTAAATAAACATACAGGATACTTGGTTGAATTTGAAGTTTAGGTAAACAAATAATTTTATTTTAGTTTTAGTTTTAGTTTAAGTATGTCCTAAATCCTAAATATTGCATGAGGAAGTTATCCCACGTGAGGCACTATTTATCTGAAATTCAAAGTTAACTGTGCTCCTGTATGTTATCTGGGAATCCTACTTCATGATGTACCTAAAATTGATTGATGTGTACTAACATCTTTCTGGGTCGCTGTAAATAGTAGGTATCTATGATAAAATAGCTTAAGTGAGAAAATTAAAGAATTTAAAAATATTAACTAGATGACAGAAACACCGACTTAGTGTTACTGCATATGAAAATAGGATCCCTGTTTGTTCGGTACCTTCTTCTTTCAGTCGCTTCTCCTCCTCCTCCTGCAGCAGCTTCAGTCGTTCAGCTTTGCTGATTTTCTTTTTCTTGCTGCCAGACTTAACAAAGGTCACAACACAGAAAAGCTATTAATGAATCTGATTTACTTAAAAACACAGATAGTAGCTATGAAAAACACTTTTGCTTTCATGACGTTGGTCTTTCCTGTACTTATTCAACAAATAAGACTTACTATCAGGACAAAGCCTTGATTTGGGGCACTGAAGAACAAAGGCTGGAAACAAATAAATGTTATTTAAAGAAAGGTTGATAGTGAATTACATGCAATTTAAATAGTTCTCTCATTCCCAGTTTCCAAATCTTTACAAGGACACAAAAGAAAATCTTATCTTGTTGTAAGAAATAAAGTAAAATGCACGCAAAAACAGTTTGAAACTGTATATCTATAAAAATTAAAGGTTTTTTTTAATGACTAACAGGTATACAGAGTTATTTTGCATGTTTTGAAGAATCGAGATTATTTTTAACAGCAGGGATAAAGTAAATTTTTTTAAAGCAGGTGGTATTTCAATTTGTACCCAAAGCATTTTAACATTAGGGGAAGATAACCCAAGAACAAGGAGTTGGACGGGCACTGGGTAAACCAGTAAGTTCAGTGGGCACTGGGAAGACTCCCAGAAGGGGCGATGAAGGAAACGAGGATGGGAAGGGTTAGAACTATACCAAAGAGTTTGAGGAACCAGCAGTTAGCGTAATGGCTATGTCGCTGGACTCCCAAGTAGTCGACCGCGGTTCGCGTCTGGGACCCGGTGGCTTAAAACTCACGCCGGGCGCGTGTGTGTGTGTGTGTGTGTGTGTGTGTGTGTGTGTGTGTGCCCAAGATCCCGAGAGGAGAATGGAGGAGGAGGGAGTGCGGTGTGACCATCCCCCCTGGGGGGTGATTTCTCGCTTTCTGTCTCTCTCTGTCTGGCGAGTGCACGCGCCCTATAGCGAAAAAACTTCTCCAAAAATAAAAAAAATAAAAAGAACTATAACAAAGAGTTCAGATGTTACTCTAAAAGAAATGAAAACCTACAAAATTTTGAGAAGGGTTGTGACTGTTAAAAATATAATTTGGGAGCCAGCCAGTGGCATGGTGATTAAGATGGCGGGATACCACATGGTTGACTGCGGGACTGGAGAAACACTGCAGGCATGTGCGCATGCTCACAATCTTCGAAGGATGGAGAGATGGAGAAGAGATTGCAGCATACCCTCCATTGGGGGTGCTTTCTTGCTTTCCTTCTTTTCTGTCTCTGGTGAGTGCACACACCCTTACGCTAAAATAAAAATAATAATAATACATATATGGAATTTTGAAAACTAATCTGGTCTTGAGGGAAAAATTATAAAATAGGTATCATTTCAGTTACTATTAATGAGCATTAATAAAGTTTTACCAGTAAAAATGCAGAGAAGATCCAATAAATATGTTATTAGCTTACTTATCTAATAATGCTTAAAACTGGAGGTAAGAAGATAACAGGAGTTGGGAGAGCCTGAAGAAGGAAGAATTGGCAGTCCAGAACAAGTAAATTTAAGGAGGAATTGCTGAAAGTAATTAACATGTATTTAGCATAAAATGCTGGTAGATTATCCAAGCAATGCTCACAGGCACTGGAATTGTAGGACTGAAGTTAAGCACAGAGAATTGAAAGCAATAATGGTGATAACCATCTGTCCTTCATTGCCCATAAAAGAGTAGAAAGAACACCTTCTAAACTTAAAGAGAAATCAAGAGAAAGTATAGTTAATCCTTGGGACATATACAGTCTTGGACAATTTTCTCTTTTTTGCCTCACCTACTCCAGGATGCTCGAAGAATTCCATAGTTCTATTGGAATCTCTAATTCATCACCCCTCATAACTATCTCATTTTTAGAAACCACTTTCATACCTTCATTTTTTCCTTTTCCAGGTTAGATTTTACAATGGATCTCCATAATCACTATCTTTATATATGAGAACTTCTAAATGAAATTAAACTATGAGTCTATTTTGGTGTAATTTTTTTTTTTGGAAAGCCATGCATAGTTTCTTGTAAGACACATTTTCCTCGAACATTTTGAAGATCTCTTGTGTACCTCCACTGTTCTCTCCCTCTGTAAAGCTCAGATGGCAAAATTCTAGTTCCAGTTAAACCCACTTTTCCATATATTCTGTGCTAGTGACATGAGCAGCTGAACCTTGCCAGAGAAAAATCCACGGGAGTTGAAATTTGTGAGGACAAATTTTAGAAACTCTAAGCACTGTCCATTATTACTACTACTTCATTCCCCTCACTTCAAATCTCAACATCCCTTTTTTCTTTCTGTTCTCAGCTGCTCATTTATATTGTGATAGGCAGTTAGCTAGAAATGAGTGGGCAGCCCTAAGAAAACAGCAGAAGGGGGCCAGCAGATGGCACAGTGGTTAAAGGCGCTGGATTCCCACATGGCTGACTGTGGTTGGAGTCCCGGACCTGGTGGGTTGT